ACCACGCTCTCACAGAATACCAGCTAATATAGCAGCATAATTCTGTTGTGTTTGTTTAGAGAAACTAAGAACCTTTTATGAGGAATTCTAAGTCTTCAGGGGTGACAACGCATCTGCATTTTCATTTTTAATGGAGGATAAATGTAGATGTCCATAGGCCACAGTATCCACTTACCATCAGGTGGACTGTGTGATCGTTTGTCACCATTATTCTATATTAAAAAATCATAATGGGTTCAGCGTAGGAATGGAATAACTTGCCAGCATCTGTCTTCCTTCCGATTACAATGTGGGTGGGCATCTTCGAGTTAAGAGTGAATAGGCTTTTTGGTAAGTCGGTGCGTTTTACTTACTTCGGCTGCATCATCAGTTACCATCAGGTGGGACAGTAGTCAAGCACTCTAATCCAAAAGTGCAAGCCTCATTTTTAAAAAAAAAAGATAAAAATAGTGACGATAAATTCTACAAAAAAAAAAACAGAGAATCTGATTGAAATTTTTTTTATAGGAGAGGGGGCAAACGAGCATGCGGCTCTCCTGATGGTAAGTGACTACCGCCGCTCATGAACAACTGTAACACCAGAGGAATTGCAGATGCGTTGCCGGCCTTTATAAAGGAGTAGGCTCTTTTCTTGAAGGTCCCTAAGTCGTATCGGTCCGGAAAAATCGCTGGTGGTAATCGATTTCACAAGGAAGTTGTGCGAGGGAGAAAACTTCTTCTAAATCGCACAGTGGTGGACCGCCAATCATCCAGATGGTATGGATGGTATCGCGAGTTTTGTGGTGATGTGCGATGGTGAAATTGAGCGGCTGGAATTAGTCCGAACAATTCCTCAGTGCACTCCCCGTGATAGATGAGACTTTCATTAATAACTTTAAACGGTGTTGAGTTCAATAACAAAAATTAATAGAGATCCTCCTTAGAATATATGGAATCTTATTTAATACTATATATCTCAATCTATTGCTTACATTACCGACGGACGGCAGTCAGTATATTTTTTTAATTACATTTTTTGTTATGGAATCTGAAGTGAATCCATTAGAAAATAAATAATTCAATGTCTGTAGTTATTGTAACGTTAAAACATACGTACATATTAATGTATTTGCACATATCGCTTATTTTGTTTCGTGGTAAAGCCATATTAGTTCAGTTGTAGCACTAATGGGTCGGCTTGACCGGGGATCACACTCGCACAGAATACCAACGTAAAATAGCAGCTTAACGGTGCTGTGTTTCGTACGGTGAGTGTAGAGATCCGGAGACCCTTTTAACTGGAAATGAGGCATTTCATTTTAGTCCTCCCGGGTGACAACGCATCTGCATTTTGATTCGTAATCGAGGATAGATGTAAATGTCTATGGGCCACAGCAACCACTCATCATCAGGTGAACTGTGTGCTCGTTTGTCACCGTCATCATATAAAAAATTCACTTAATGGGAAAGTTTAACTTATAAAAGAATAACCTTTTAAAAATATATTTTCATTATTGATTCAAATAAAATCCACAATACTAAATATATATCATTAAAAATATTTTTATATTTTGTTTTCAATAGTCTCCACCATAGATTGCCTCATATGGTGGGATGTTTGCCATAGTTACCACGCTTGGTAAGCGGGTTGCCAACCCTAGTTTCCTTATTTTTAGTCGTTATTAGGAAGACGCTGCTGCTTATCCCTCGATTATATCCACTGACAAGAGAAAAAATTATCTTGTCCCTAAGCCATGGCATGGCAACGGAGAGAAGTATATCCCCGTTCGACATAACGAGTAGACATATATCCTCCGTCCGTAGCATGGAGCCAAATGAAAGATAAAAAATTATGCATTTTTGACATTTGAAAGGGACAATTTTATCCTAGTTCATTGAACGTGGGTTTAAGTTTATATTCATACAAAAATATATCTAAGTCTAAATCTACCTCCCATTTTATCTACTGTGGATATTATATCCACCGGTGTTCCCATGTTCGAAGGGTGGATAAAACTAGGCGAGGAGAAAAAAATTTTCTTCTTTCCCTGGGGATAAAATTGTCTCCTGCCCATGCTAGCTCTGCTGATTTGTTTCCCCCCGTCGCCTCTTACGACACCCACGGGATGATTTGGGGTAGTGGGTATTCTTACACCGCCACACACTTAGTAACTTTTTATTAAATTATTAACTAGCGATCCGCCCCGGCTTCAAACGGGTGATTTCTGGATCTCGACAACAGTGCCACCTACCGGGTCCAACTGTAAATGTAAACCATTCAGGGGCCCACTCAGACGTACACAAAAAAAATCGTCAAAATCGTTCAATAACTTTGGATTTATTTATTTAATCTTGATTGTTACCACCTTAATGAGTAGGCTAACAAAGGAGGGACTTAATGCCTAACGGAATTATCTGCCAGTCAACCCATGGAGTGATGAGATTTTGTGGTAAAATAGCCGCTCAACGCTTTCGTATGGTCAGTGTGGAGAACCGGTGACCCTTTTTACTGGAAACTAGGCATTTCCATCTTAGTCTTCAGGGATGACAACGCATCTGCATTTTGATTCTTAATTGAGGATAAATGTAGAGGTCTATAGGCTACAGTATCCACTTACAATTAGGAATGTGTGCTTGTTTGCCTCCCTTCTTCTATAAATTTTTTTTTTGCCACAGCGAATATATGTCAGAAAAATTTTAAGGTGGCAAACGTAACCTCCATGTTATGTAACGTCAAATCGCAATTTTAAAGGATAATTTCGATAAAAGCATCAACACACAGCACTGAGCTCTTCCCGTTTGTAACCCGCCTATGACCGACATAACGTCGACCTTACTAGAGAAAGAGATGAATATATATTGACTTCAGGCGAGTGAAGAGTAAAAACACTGTAAGTAGGTCACGGGATAAAAAGCGTCTTGAAGTGACATTCTTGGATTTAAGCGCTGCATCGCTGAAAACTCATTCGAGGAAATAGGAAGCTGAAATAGTCTTCTATAAATAGACGTCTGCCTGGAGATTTAAATAAATAATTAATTTTATAAAACAGTTAAGAATTTCTTTGTTTTTGTCTATAAAGGGAGAATTATACTGTATGATTTAACGAGGAGCGAGTAATAGAGAATGATGATATTAATTATATATCTATATATCACATATATTGGAGTGTCAAACGAGCTACCAGAGTCCAAATAATTTATAATTTCAAAATTAAAATTTTGTACAGCCGACTTCAATATAAATTATTAAGAATAACTCAAAAACTATAGGTCAGAGTTTGATCAAATTTATATGGAACCATATGTGAAGCACCAGCTTTCAATTAAAAAAAGAATCATCGAAATCGGTTCACCCAGAAAAAAGATATATAGAGGTAACGTACATAAAAAAAACATATGGTCGAATTGAGTACTGTCTTTTTTTTGAAGTCTGAAGAAAAAAAAAAGGTTAAAGATGCGTTGTCACCCCTGAGTATTAATATGAAATATTTCACTTCCTTAAATTATACTAGTCATTCTACATTGTTGCTTATCAGTAAATATAAGTGAAATTCTGGAATAACCCAGACGGGTTTGTTCAGAAGACGAGTTGTGCCACTTAGTACCTATGCAAGTTGTTAATATTTTCATTTAGTGTTTGCTGCTATGTGTTAGTGAATGGATTGTTGGGTTTATTTAAACAAGACTTTAAGTAACTAATGCCAATACGATTATTTTCAATATATGTTTAAATAAAAAGAAATATTGTAAAAGTTTTCATTATAAATATTTCTATATTTTAAAATTATATAGAAACAAACTTATTTTGTACATATACAGTTCATAAGAACATGGGAAACTATTGATATAAGAAACTTCTATGTGACAGTCATTTATATTCTTTTTTTGCATTTTATATTTTTTTTTATAGGATAGGGTTTCAAACGAGTACACAGTCCACTTGATGGTGAGTGGTTGCTTTGACCCATAGACATCTACATTTCTCCTCAATAAAGAATCAAAATGCAGGTGCGTTGCCACCCGTGAGGACTAAGAATGCCTCTTTTCCAGTAAAATGGGTCTCCGGTTCTCTACACTCACTATACGAAACACAGCAGTGTCAAGCTGCCATTTTACGCCGGTATTCTGTGAGAGCGTGGTCCTTCCGCGGTCGAGACGACCCATTCGTGCTACAACTACTACTAATATATTATGTAGCTGCAGCATGGGTCTACCATGTATGATAATTATTATGAAACTTTTAACATTACATTTGTAACGATACAGTTGTGATAAATACAAATATGAATATAATAAAATAAGTCTGAATAGTAAAAATATTATTTATGACATTTAATTGTTAACCACTCCAGACACCAGAGTCCAGAGTATTACATCGATTACACTGTGGCAATAGAAAAATGTCAGTGCCCTACACCCTATTTCGGATTTATTCAATTAACAGCAACCGTACTATTCCCGGCGTCGCTTCAGCGGCTGGATTCCGCGGCGGCGCATGCGCGAATGTATTCCCGATCGATGAGCAAAGCGTTCCGCTCAGTGTTCGCGCACCCGTCACACAGTGCACAATGCGCTCCCACTGACGAGGGGGGAAACACGTCAAGCTGTATCTCCGCGAGTACGCCGCGGAGGACGAGCGGCCGCCGTGCCGTGAGGACTGGCGCCGGCAGGAGTGGTCCGGCGCTCGGAGTCGCCTGCCGCAGGTGGACCGCAGCCCCTCCCGCCGGAGCCCGTACCTCGCGCGCGATGACGAGCCCTCGCCGGCGCCCGACGAGCGCGGGCGCTCCGCTTCCGCCGGCGCACACCATCGCGCCAGACCTCGACCTCTCCGCTACCAGTCCCTCGAACGCGACTACGACCGCTCCTACGCCCCTCCGCCCCCACCCGAAGATGACTATTACCGCCGCGAACCGCCTCCGCTATTCCTCGGCGAGCTCCAATCACAGAATTCGGATTTGCAGCGTGAACTCGGCAATCTCAAGAAGGAACTGGAACTAACGAATCAGAAACTGGGCTCCAGCATGCACAGCATAAAGACCTTCTGGAGTCCGGAGTTGAAGAAGGAGCGGGCGTTGAGGAAAGAGGAGAGCGCGAAATACAGCCTCATTAATGACCAACTTAAGTTGCTCAATCAAGAAAATCAAGTAAGTTAATTAATATCTACAAAGTGAATATTTACTAAAACATTCCTTATTTCTTTTTCTTTATTGTACACACTAAAGTATGGTAACAATTTAGAGATGTAAATAAAACTCAAATAGGGAATCTTAACCCTAATAAGAGTTATCCTTCAGCAAACCCTTGAGGAAAGAAAAGGAAGCAAGTAGGTGGCAGCGTGCATACATAATCTTCGGCAACTTCCCTAATTTTTACTTAGTTTACCCTTTACTACTTTTAATATATATTCTTCTCAATAATCTTCATCTACACCGTTCATTAGTTTGCATTGTGTTTGATTATTATGTAATTATTATGCAAAAACCGTTACTTTTTTATTTCAGGAAATTAACAGGTGTTTTTATCAAAACAAAAATTAATAATCCGTTTAACTTTAACTTCGTATTTGAATGTAAATTCTATGAAATACTCATTCAACTACTCTATACTACATTAATTTAATGAATTTTAATAGTAGGAATTCCCCACGCTCCGTAGGTTTGATATAGTAGTCGTCCTACGCATGCTTCAAATGGTTTCAAACTTACGTTCATAGATCAATGGAGCTACATTCATTAGTTCCAATCATTACGTATTATTTCACAGACAATAAAGAAGAAGACAAAAAACGACGATTTCATCAAATTGGTATATTTTATATAGATTTTATTTAAAAAAGAGAGATCGTATAAAGCGGGACAGTCATTGAAATTCTGTTGTCGCGCTGGTGAAATAAAATGGTCGTAAAATTTATAACCACAAAGGCTGATGTATCGAGTTTTATGCATCCTGGACGCTGCGAGATAAAATGACATCATCTGAGAATACCCTAATCAAACAAGGCGGTTAAATTACGTAATCCACTTCAAAGAGTATACGAATTATCATTATATCAAAATAATTTGGCTATTCTTCGCATGCTTTAAAATATGGTTGTCTTCAAGGCAATAGTGAAAAGGCTTTTGATATGGTAGCATTTTATCATCATCGTTTACCTCGCCATTTACCAACAGAAAAGAACTTCATTAAATTTATTACTCAAAGTGAATATTCTTTATAATGACTTTTCAATAACTCATTATCAATTTAATATCAGTCCATCGTGATTTCGTGATCATAATCTCCTGGTACTGATATTGTAAACAGCACAGGACTTATAAGTGCTGAAGATGTAGGTGCAAAAGCAGAGGTTTTTACTCATCCAACCGATGTAATCAAAGCTAGACTTGTATTGTCGGAGATACGGGGATAATCCCAAATCATCTTCAGTCGAAACCCAATTAAATGTATGATATCCAACTAGACCTATTGGGGAATTTAGAACTGGAACTGAAGTAATAACCGGGTATTTTGGACTAATTTTAAACGGAACCGGGATTTACGTGTTCTTTCGGTATTAGTTAGCGTTTATTCAATGATAGTGAAATCCTTAAAGAAGCAGGTGACGCCGTAAGAGAATCCATCAATATTTCGACTCGTGGATGCCATAAGAAGAAAATGAGAAATGCGAGATAGACCTTATGGCGTGTAGACGATCTTACGGCATGTGCGAGAAAGACGTTTAACTCAGACGCAATACCCCGACCGATGATACTGAACAGCATCAAATATGTGCCAAACTGTCTGCAGAAGACAGATTTGTGATTACAGTACTTTAGTTAATTCTACTATAGAATCTAAATTGCTCTCTTACGATACGTCTAATGATCAATGAAATTACTTAGTATATTAAAATTTGTATAATTATGGCAATAAGCTGACGTGAATCTTGATTCCTTTAATGCTCAGTACTGTACATACTTTTTTATAGAATTGGGGTGACAAACAAGCACACAGTCCACCTGATGGTAAGTGGTTGCTGTGGCCCACAGACATCTACGTCTATCCTCGATTACGAACAAAATGCAGATGCGTTGTCACTCGTGAGGACTAAGATGGAATGCCTCGTTTCCAGTAAAAAAGGGTCTCCGGTTCTCCACACTCACCATACGAAACACAGTGCAGTGTTATGCTGCTATTTTACGCTGGTATTCTGTGAGAGCGTTTTTCTTCCCCGGTCGAGCCGACCCATTCGTGCTACAACTATACCAGTAATATAGCTGGAGTATGGCTCTAACACGCAAAAGCCACTTACCGTTATCCATACTGTTATCATGTCAATACCGTTACCGTGTAGTGGCGGTGTAAGAAAATCTACTACCCCGTATCGTTCCGTGGATGTCGTAAGAGGCGACAGAAGGAAGCATCTTCGTAATAACTGCTAAAAATAAAAATAAAACTAGTCAAGCCTGGCAACTATGATAAATATCACCTCTATGAGGCAGTCTATGGATGCCTATGTTCAGCGGACTTTAATAGGCTGTAATAGACTGTATATACTTTGCAATCAAAATAAAAAAAAGATAGAAAAATCAAAGTGATAGATAGAATACTATCTTTTCAACATTTATCTATATGTTGCATCTCTTTGCGTATTTTATCGCATCTATCACGGCGATTGCTCTGAGGAATTGTTCGGACTAATTCCAGCCGCTCAATTTCAACTTCGCACATCGCGACAAAACTTGCGATACCATCCATACCACTGTGCGATTTAGAAGAAGTTTTCTCCCTTCCACAACTTTCTTGCGGAATCGATTACCACCAGTGATTTTTCCGGATCGATGCGACTTAGGGACCTTCAAGAAAAGAGCCTACTACTTTTCAAAAGGCCGGCAACGCATCTGTGATTCCCCTGGTTCCCCTGGTGTTGCAGTTGTTCATGGGCGGCGGTAGTCACGATCAGGTGAGCCGCATGCTCGTTTGCCCCCCCCCCCTCCTATATAAAAAAAATTGTTTTACGGGTTTGAATATTATCCATATGTAAAATTCCAGGAAAATTTCTAAATAGACAAACCTAAATATCCAGACCCGCAGTTAGGAGCGTCTTAGATATAAGATGTCAGATGCGGTACAAGTCATCTTAATTCGAAAAGGGAAATGACCAGCAGAAGACTTCATCAGCTCTCTCTTCCTCATCAGACTTTTTTGTTCATGTTTCAGCTTAACCTTAAGTAAAATATTCGTCACTAGTACACAGCACAGCGTGATATTGAAATTATTTGTCTGTGTAAGTTTCAGACAACTAAAATTTAGATTTTCTAAGTACTTTATAACTTCTTATAAACGTATAAATAAAATTTTCTTCTAATAAGCTCAAGAGGTTTTGTATGCTATTAAGGCAATAAAAACCATTTTTAAAATGTCTGTCGATTTGTCTGGCGCCCTGGCTAATCTTCGGAAGGAGTGTACCCATTGCCATGCTCACAAACAGATAGTAAGCAATGCCATATTTTTGTTGGAAAATCGAACAAGCGATAAAATAAATAGTTTTGATGATTATGTTTTGCACTTTATGAGATATTAAAAAAGGTGTGAACAAAACTTTTTCGGTTTACAATTTTACACAAATAGGTCCAACACTTCTTTCTATAGCTTAAGCGAGATTTAGTTTATCACCATTCTATAACAAAATTATGAGTTTTATAGAATAAGAATAATAATAATTTTATAGAATAGAATAATTTACCTTTTTATTACGTGGGATTAATATCTCTAAAATCTTAAATTTTTTTTCAATTATTTTTCCATACCTCACATAAATTTTCGAGATAATAGCAAAACAAATTGATCGATAAGTGTTCTACGCAGACCAGTCGCGGGTAAAAGCTTATATGAAATAAATACAGGCCTGTGGTCGATATCAGAAGAACATAAATATATTTTTAACGTTTAACTTTTTCTACTATCTACAGTTGCGTAACAAACAAATGGCTACTAAAGGAAATGGGGACATATAATTTATAGAGTAGACATTATACACGGTTGATAACTACGCGACGTAACCGAACTATAGTAATTTTAGGCAACTGATAAAACAATTGAGCGTGTTCGAAGCATTTATAAAAATTTGTCGTTTATAAATTTACTAGCTGTCCCCCGCGACTTCCACCGCGTGTAATTTAGGGTTTTAATATTTTTGCGCGGAACCCTATTTCTCATTCTAAAATAAAAGTAGCCTAAGTTAAAGTTCCGTCCAAATTGATTCACAGGTTTTTCGTGATGCATGTTCAGACAGATGTCATGTTAGTTTTATTATAGTATAGATAGATAGATAGATAGGTTACGTAGTCCGATTTGACTTGTCTTTATTCATATTGCCCGGGTATTATAAAAACTACCATGATTAATCATTTGATCCATAACATATATAATGTATATAAATTTACAACAAACTTTTAAACATATATATCAGAAATAATATAAACACAGTAGAATGTAAATAACTTAATTAACAGAGAGCATTTCATTGTGCATCGTAGCAAAATTTTTAATTAAGGACATAAACTACTTACGATGTTTTCATTATCGTGATGTTGGAGGATGGTGCCGAAAACTCTTTAACGGAGCTTTAAAATTTACTCGTTTATTACATTGCTTTTGTAACCCTATTTTATTACTGTGTATAGTATATAGGAGGCATCTGCTTATAATAAGTACTAAAAGAATAATTACATCGATAACTTTATTTTCTATTCCATCACGCAACAAGTCTTTGTATAGCATAGAAATAATTCTTTGCGATTAAATGTATGTCCATTTGCTACGAATCACAGTGTTACCAACTCGAATTTTTACAAATCCGTAGATTGGTTTAAAAATGTCTATAGAATTCCGTAGATGCTATTTCAAAATATCCGTAGTTCTGCAGACTTCTTAAGAGGATCGAAAATTTTTGTTTTTATCATTGAATATATCAATTTTTTGGAGAAATTCTTTCTTGTATGTAAAATTCTTGTTGTAAATTCAATTGTAGTATAACATTAAATCAAGCTGCACATATTAAAAAAAGTACCATAAAAATTGATTAAAAAGTAATTGTTTTCTTTTAATTAAATTATGTTTAGTAAAAACCAAATAGAATAATTAACACTTAAATATTTGTGGA